GAGAAATTTTTTTCGTCAAGACTTTTAAGTGCCCGTACGTAAGAACCACGCATACCTCAAGGCTGAGTTTGAAATACTTAAGTTGTACTTAGACAGGGAACTTCAACTTTCCAGCTTTTCTGGTTCCCGAGTTGAAATTTTCCTGCAGAAATTTTCTTACGCCCTTACGTGAGCACCACACATAGCTAGGGGCTGAATTTGAAAAGTTTGTGTTGTACTTGAACAGGGAACATTCCCTCAAATTTTCAGCCTTCCAGCTTTTCTGATTACCGAGTTAGCAGTTTTCCCGCCAAAACCCTTACACACCCGTACTTGGGTACTCCATTTGCTTGGAAAGCTGGATTTGAAATTTCTAAGTTGCACTATGGGCAGGGAACATCGGCCTATAATTTCAGCCTTCCAGCTCTTCTGGTCGCCGAGTTAGTAATTTTCCTGCAGAAACTTTCATATGCCCTTATGTGAGTACCATGCATAGCTTGGGGCTGATTTTGAAATATTTGAGTTGCAGTTGGATAGGGAACATTCCTCCAAAATTTCAGCTTTCTAGCTTTGCTGGTACCCGAGTTAGCAATTTTCCCCCTAAAATTTCAAACGCCCTTGCTTGAGTACCGCGTATACCTGGAAGCTGATTTTGAAATCTCTAGCTAGTATATGCACAAGGAATATTCCTACAAAGTTTCAGCCCTTAGTCGTGTGGTTCCCGAGATCGCTTTCCCGCCAAAAAATTTGCATATTTTTTTAAAACGTCCGTACGCGGAACCCAGGCGTCCAACGGGGATGAAATTGCCCAGGCCTGCAGAATTTACGATAATTTACGGTATTGAGCGCATAAGTCAGGTGTGAAGAAACCCAGGCTGGAATGCCCCGGGCAGGCCCGTGCGATCATGCGTTTTTGCACAGGACTTGAAGTACTCAGGTCATTAACTGCATGAATGGTTGTTGCTTTATACCTACCTTTTGCGGTCAGTTGCATAAATCACCTTAAATTTTACATAAAATAGGTGTACAATTCCCATTTAACGATCGTTCTTTAAATGTAACCTAGTTGCTCAGCCAGATATTCAGTCAAAATTTTAAGTGCCCGTACGTAAGAACCACGCGTACCTCAAGGCTTAATTTGAAATACTTAAGTTGTACTTGGAGAGGGAACATCC